AAAAAAAAAAACCCCCAAACCAGCCATGTTTTATCTTAGAGTGGTTCTGCAAACCCAATTCTAGACATTATAGTTTAGTGTGATGTATAAACCTGGGAAAATGGGTCAAGTAAACTATGGGTAAATGTCACTTAAGCATGTGGTGCAAATACAGCCTCCGTTACAGCACGCTCCTGTGCCTGTTGATCCTGAAAGGATTCCAGCGAGCCCTTGAAAATTGCCCTGAGCTGAAGGTAGGAGTGAATAGGTCAGAATGCTGCTGAAATTTAATGAATGGTGCCTGAATGTAGGATATTCATGTTCCTATCCAGGGTCCTGGAACTCTCACATGGGTTGAAATACAATTTCCATCATTCCCAAACTGGTTGTAGAAACTGGAAGTTGTACTACAACTTATCTAGAAGGCTGGCACAGTAACTAATAATACTACTGAAAGATACTTCCTCTAAGTTCATTGAGGATCCCACATAAAGAAAGTAACACAGCACTGTATTTTTCTGGATGTGAAAGCATGGAATAGCTTTGTGTGATTTGCTCTACAATAAATCTCTTTTGTTTACTCAGAAGTAAGTCCTATCCCTAAGCCACTTAACATAGCATGTATTGAAATAGGGGAATGATCTAGAAATGTAATAAATCAATGATTGACTTTCCAGAGATTATCAAATCAAAAAACGCTGAATGCCAAAAAACTAAAATAAGGTTGTAGTTGCTTTTAAAGCACTCTGCCTGTGCTTTCAAATGTTAAAGCAGTGCTCTGTGAAGTAACTTTAGGCTCTAGAATAAATGGAGGTTTCAGGGTTTATTTAGAAGTTTATTTAAACTTGAAGCTTCACAGCCCTTTGCACCCAGAAAACCTTGGGTACGCTCCCAAAGAATTCATGTAACTTTGAATGTGACTGAAAAGAGAAACTGTTAAATTCAGTAATTGTTTTGATTGTACAGTAGTTCAGTTTAATGAAAGACATGAAATGGAGTTTTCGTTCTGGTTCCATTCACTACTTTGCAGACCACTCAGAGCTAAGGGCGTAGCTCAGCCTGGTAAAAGTTGCGCACTTTGCCTTGGTAAACTTCTCTTCCTTCAAATTATGGTAAACTCAGTCTGCTGTATTAGAGGGCTCTCCTGTTAGTTCATTCTCTTGAGCGGGGCTCTGCTCTGTTGCACCCCAATTCTACCTGTCTGCTTCACAGAATGAGACTTTCTGTTTTCTAGCTGAAACTGGGAAGACACTTTACGATGACAACAGATTGATTTTCTTGCAGGGAGCAATTGGTCTTTGTAAGGAACCTAGCAGAGAATGCAAACCACCATCATTGTTGTCGTCATTGTCATTATTACCACTATTATCCATTTTGACTCTCAAAAGTTTTACTCATGCATTTAGCAAAATGGCAGCAGTTTTCACTTCTCTGATGTAATTAGATAGCAACGAATGAATGCTTGCAGTCTTAATTGTAATTGCTAAAGAAATATCAGCCTGAATAAACACGGGGGGACTTATTTTTGAGTAGCCATGCTTAAGATACAAGGAATTCCAAACTCCAATTGCACATCCTAACCTCTTTCCAGAGTAAAGGCTTTTGGAAAAAGACAAGACCACATTAAACCTTATTTTTGTGGATATCATTCATCCTGCAAATTAATTAATGTTAATTGGAGCCCAATTAACTAATAAAGCATCAAAGAATCAGATCTGTCATTTCAAACACTGGCGTGTTTATTATGGCATAGGTTTCTTGGGGCCCACAGTTCACTTTCAGCGGCTTCTGATGAAGGGAAGTGTAGTTCACAAACATATTATGATATTCATTTGTTTTTGTTTTTGTTTTAAATGGCTCATGACTCTCCAGAATTTTTGTTTCCTGCAACATGAGTTAATGCTCTAGAAAGAATAAACAGGCTGGCGAGATCATAACTGACTATATTTCTGTAATGTAATTAACACAATGAAGGAAAGAGACTCTTAAGGAATTGCTGAGTTGGCACTACAAACCTAGAGCTGAATCTCATACTAAATCTGCCCTTGGTCTGTGGTTGTTTTCATATCACACTTGTTTGGGATGTGTCTGTAAAGGACCCTTTGAGTGGAGTTTGGGGAGACTGCTCCAATCCTCTTTAGTTACAGTTCACTGGGGTGTGACTCCAAAGTCGTTCTGTAAAATAGTTGTCCTTAACCTGGGCATTTGCTCACACTTTTTTTTTATTAAAAAAAGAAAAGAAAAAAGGGTAATAAGAATGCCATATTTTATTCTCTTGTATTTTGAAGTACTATACCTCTTTGAAAGTATTGCATTTTAAATACACAGACTGGGAAATATTAAACTTTTCAGGGTGGGAAAATTCAATTCTAAGCCCTCTCTTTAAGAGTGTTGTGTGTGACATCCAAGATGCTGTATTTTGATTTTAAAATGATGGAGCCATTTGTAGTTTAAAAAAAACCAGTGAATTGATGTATTCAGTTCCAAGAGACAGAATGGTCTTTAGCAGTCAATGCAGCAATGGTTTCCATTTAAATATGTATGACTCCAAGCACTTTGCTTTAATTGATTGTATGGATAAAAACCCTGTTTCTAATTAAATTCCAGTGGAGGGTGGGGAAGGAGAACAACAAGTTTTTTTCATGTGGCTTTTGCTATCCCAAGACGTGAGTCAAATACTCATCCAGAAAAAGGGATAATGCCGAGGGATCCGCCTTCCCAGCAGAAATGCGAGAGAAGCAGGAAAGCTGGCCCGCAAGGCAGTTTTGCATCACTTCTGGCTTGCAACCTACTGAAAGGCAACCTCATAGGAGGGCAGAACTGACCCCCCTCCTGCTCCAGCTGGGGGTAGAGAGGCCGCGTTTGCTCAGTTTACTAGAACTGAATTGCATACACCTGCAGAGGATCAGACCGAGTTGCTTCTTCAAGCTGTGACCTTCTCAGGGCCACCGATAAGACCACAAATGGACTGAAACAGGAAGGTGGCTGTGGAGAGAGACTCTGTATTGATTTTACCTGAAACCAGTGAAGGTGGTGCCCGGATTCTGTGAAGACAGATGCGGAAATTGGGTTGACCGATTAAGAGTCCTTAACGCATTTGCTAAGGAATAACCCCTTTAAATACCAGGGAACTGACGTTGTAAATTGACAAAGGCTTGCACCGCTGACAGAAGGGCCAGGATTGTAACTCTGGTGCATCTCGTATTCCCCAACCTTGAAGGTTGTTTTGTGTTAATGGACAGTTAATATCTTTTGGGGGCAAATTCAATATAGTGCAAAGATGTAAAGCTGCAGGCACTGACTTTCCATTAAATCCTACTGGAATATAGTCCCGTAAAACTATAATGGATGGACGGATGGTCCAGGCTTAGAAGAAACTTTGTGTGCTGATTCTAAACTTATTTGTGTGAAAATGACACCGCTGCGGGTCCACTTCTAACGATAAAAATTAAATACGGCTTTAACATCTGCACTTGTACACCAGTCTGTATTCAGTGTGAAATAATAAAAGAAGTTGCTGCAAAGAGAATGAGATCCATGAAATTGTACATGCACAACACACACTGAACACTCTACTAGGAATCCAGAAAAGAGAGTGAAAGGCTTTAACTGGCCCTTCTGGGATCACAGATGCCAACCTTCTTCGGACTGAGCAATTTGGATGCTAATAGAGATGTTTATGCCCGCCGGAGCACCAGCTACTAATGGCTATTTGGGCAGAATTAGATTAGGAACAGCATTGATAGGACTGATATTGACATCTCATCCCCAACACATCCATCTAGGAACAGACCCATATATTCCCAGTGGAAATCCCTAGGCTTATTTTAGGATGCAGGCAGCTGGGAGATTTGGGTTTTTCACGAAAGTTCTGAAAGTGCAGTTTGACGTGAATGTACGTAACTAGCATCCATTCAATACATGTGTCCTTGGAACGAAATAAAAACAACACGCTTTTTTAATAAATCCCATTATATCCTCCAGGATTTCTCTTTCCTAATAATTCGACTGGATCGCGGTTATTTAAAGTCCAGCAAAAACTACAGTGGGAATGTGCCTTTACACTGTGCGAGTTGCTTTTAAGAAGGCCACGTGGGATCCACCAGGAAGTTCAACCATTTCAGACGGACAGTCCAAAGCAAAGCCACCGCGCTTTGCTAAGGAGGATCGTTCTATAATTCTGGGCACCAGTTGTTTTCCACCCAGGCTGTGGAGCCCCAGCAGAGACAGCAATAATCCTTTCTGCCTTCGGAAACTCTTGTGGCCCCGGAAAGGCGGTCGCCTGTATTAACTCACAAGCTTTCGTGGACCCAAACCCTCCTTTCGGATGCAAACTCTAACTGACCTCAAAGTAAATTGCGCAGCTTCTTTTGGAATCAAGGCGCAGAGGCCTGGAGCGTTAAGTGTCTGGAAATCACCGTGATGCAACAGACTGCCGAGCCCTTTCTCTTCCCTTCGCGCTAGAAGCGAACGACGCTCTTTTCTACATCCGGAACCGGTCTCGCGAAACGCGGTCGGGAAAATCTGCCGCCCAGCACATCCTGCCTGACCCTGAAGGAGCGTTTGCCCTGAAAGGA